ACAGCTGTGTTCAGAGAGAAGTCTGTAAGTGTAAATGCCTACATTAAAACAGATCTCAAATCAACTACCTAAGTCTACACCTTAAAGAAGCAGAAAAGGGGGCCAGCCCCATGACTGAGAGGTTAAGGTTCCACGCGCTCCGCTTTGGCAGCCCGGGTTCGTGGGTTCAGATCCCAGGTACAGACCTACTCCACTCTTCTGCCATGTGGTGGAGGCATCCCACACACAAAATAGGGGAAGACTGGCACAGATGTTAGCTCAGGGCTAATCTTCCTCAATCAAACAAAAACAAAAAGAGGAAGATTGGCAACAAATGTTAGCTGAGGGTGATTCTTCCTCACCAAAAAAAAAAAGAAGCAGAAAATTAAGGCAAATTAAACTCAAAGCCAGAAAAACATAATGTAGAGCAGAGATAAATGAAATGAAGACTAGATAAATAATACAGAAAATCAATTAAACCAAAAGTTGGTTCTTCAAAAGGATCAACAAAGCTGGACTACTTTTAGCTCGATGGACTAAGAAACAAAGAGAGAAGACTCAAGCTAGTAACATCAGAAATGAAAGTGGGAACATTACGACTGATTCTGCACAAAGAAAGCGCATTATAAGAGAGTTCTGTGAACGGATGTATGCCAATAAATGGAATAACCTATTGATGAAATGGACACTTTCCTAAAACACAAAACTAACCAATACTGAATAATAAAGAAAGAGAAAATTTGAATAGACCTTTAATTAATAAGGAGATTGAATAATCAAAAATCTCCCAAGAAAGCAGCGAGAAAGCAGCGCCCTGGACCTCATGGCTTCATTGTTGAATTCTACTAAATATTTAAAGAAGAAATAAGATCAATCCTACTCAAACATTTCCACAAAATGGAAGAGGAGGGAACACTTCCTAACACATACTGTGTCCAGCATTACTCTGGTTTCAAAGCCAGACAAAGAAACTACAAGAAAAGAAAACTACAGGCCAATATTCCTCATGAACATTGATACAAAAATCCTCAAGAAAATACTAGCAAACTAAATTGAGCAGCATAGTAAAAGGATTACATAAGTGGGAAAGGTTTATGACCAGATGAGGTTTACTGACAGAATTCAAGAAAGACTGAATATATGAAAATTGACCAATGTTATACACCATTTTAATGGAACGAAGAACAAAAACTACATAATCATCTCAATTGATGGAGAAAAAGCATTTCACAAAATTCCACACTCTTTCATGTTAAAAACACTCAACAAACTAGGAATAGAAGGAAACCCACAGCAAGCATCATACTCAATGGTGAAACACTGAAATCTTTTCCTTTAACATCAGGAAAAAAGAAAGGATGGTCACTTTAGCCACTTCCATTCATCAGAGTACTGGAAGTCCTAGCCATGGGAATTAGGAAAGAAAAAGAAATACAAAGCATCCAAATTGGAAAGGAAGAAATATCATTATGTCTCTTCACAGGTGATATGATCTTGTATGTAGAAAAACCTAAAGATTCCACAAAAAACCACGTTAGAACTTCTAGACGAATTCAGCAAAGCAGCAGGATACAAAATCAATGCACAAAAATCAGCTGTGGGCTGGCCCCGGGGCCTAGTGGTCATCTTCGGCACACTCCACTTTGGCGGCCCCGGTTAGGTTCCCTGATACGAACCTACACCACTCATCAATGGCCATGCTGTGGTGGCGACACACATACAAAATAGAGGAAGACTGGCACAGGTGTTAGCTCAGGGCCAATCTTTTTCAGCAAAAATAAATGAATAAATGAAAATCAGCTGTATTTCTACACACTAACAATGAACAATGCAAAAAGGAAATTAAGAAAACATTTTGATTTACAATAGCATCAAAAAGAATAAAATACTTAGGAATTAACTCAACCAAAGAGGTGAAAGACTTGTACAATGAAAACTACAAAACATTGATGAGAGAAATTAAAGAGGACACAAGTAAACTGAAAGACATCCTAGGTTCATGGATTGGAAAGCAATATTGTAAAGACATCAAGACTACTCAATATGATCTCCAGATTTAATACAATTCCTATCAAAATCCCAATGACTTTTTTGCAGAAATAGAAAAATCAATCCTAAAATTCATATGGAAACGCAAGGGACCCCAAATAGTCAAAACGATCTTGAAAAAGAATAAAACTCATACATCCTGATTTCAAAACTTACTACAAAGCTACAGTAATCCACACTGTGGTACCCGCATAAAGACAGAGATATAGACCAACGAAGAGAATAGAAGTCCCAAAAACAATCCCTCATATGGAGTCAAATGATTTTGACATGGGGGCCAAGACCACTCAAGGGGGAAAGGACAGTCTTTTCAACAAATGGCGCTGGGAAATCTGGATATCTTAATGCAAAAGAATGAAGGTGGACCTTTACCTAGCACCATATACAAAAATTAATTCAAAGTGGATCAAAGACCTAAATGTAAGAGCTAAAACTAGAAAATTGTTAGAAGAAAATTCTTAGACAAAACTTCTTAGAAGAAGGACAAAGATTCTCAACATTGGATTTGGCAGTAATTTCTTGGATATGACGCCAAAGGCATAGGCAACAAGAACAACAAAAAACTAGAGGGGGCTGGCCCTGTGGCCTAGTGGTTAAGTTCAGCATGCTCCACTTCAGTGGCTCTGGTTTAGTTCCCCAGCACAGATCTACAACACTCATCGGTGGCCATTCTGTGGTGGCAACACACATAGATAAGTGGGGAGGATTGGCACAGGTGTTACCTCTGGGTGAATCTTCCTCAGGAAAAAAAAAAAGTAGACAAGGTGGACTTCATAAAAATTAAAAAATATTTCATGTCATGATACTATCAACAGAGTAAAAAGCTAACTTGCAGAATGGGAGAAAATATTTTCAAATCACATAGTCACACGATGCTTAATCACGGGGACACATTTTTAAGAAATCCATCATTAGGCGATTTCGTCATTGTGTGAACAAAATAGAGTGTACTTACACAAACCTAGATGGAATAGCCTCCTACACACCTAGGCTCTATGGTACTAACCTTACGGGACCACTGGCACACATGCGGTCGTCGTGCCTACACGTTGTTATGCGGCACATGACTGTATCTGATAAGGGATTACTGTCTAGAATATAGAGAGAACTCCTAAAAATCAAAAACAGCAGCAAACACACAAATCAATTTTAAAATGGGCAAAGAACTTGATAGACACTTCTACAAAGAAGATCTACAAGTGGACAAGAAGCACATGAAAAGATGCTCCACATCCCTCATCAGTAGGGAAATGCAAATCAAGAGCACAATGAGATCCCACCTCACACCAATAGGATGCCTCCTGTCATCAAAACAGAAAATAGCAAGTGTTGGCAAAGATGTGGAGAATCAGAACCCTTGTGCACTGCTGGTGGGAATGTAAAATGGTGCAGCTGTTGTGGAAAACAGTCCAGTGCTCATATATCCACAAACTGAAAGCAGAGTCTCAAAGAGATATTTTCCCCCATTTTCACAGCAGCAGTGTTCACAACAGCTGAGGGTAGAAGCAACCCAAGTGTCCATCGATGGAGGAAGGGATCAGCAAATGTGGTCTATACATACAATGGAGTATTATTCAGCCTAAAAAAAGGAAATGCTGACACGTGTCACAACATAGATGAACGTTGAGGAAATCATGCTAAGTGAATTAAGTCAGTCACAAAAAGACAAAGACGGTATGATTCCCCTCATATGAGGTCCCTAGAGTGGTCAAATTCACAGAGATACAGAGTAGAATGGTGGTTTCCAGGGGCTATGGGGAGGGGGCCTGGAGAGTTATTGTCTAATGGGGACAAGGTTTCAGTTTTGTAAGATGAAAAGAGTTCTGGAGATGGGTGGGGTGATGGTTGCACAACAATATGAGAACTTAATAGCATTGAACTGTACACTCAAAAATGATTATGAGGGCAAATTTTATGTTGTGTATATTTTCACACACACACACACACACACACAGAAAAAGTAGATACTCAAACAAATATGACCATTTTGCTGTAGGAGCAAAAAACCAGGGACGTGGCCTGTGCAGTAAAAAGTTTACTCAGTAGCTCTGGGATTTTCCACCCTTGCACATCCCCCCAAAAATGCCTGGCCCTTCACAACCTCCACGGAAACATCCCCTACGCCCTTGAGATGACCTGCCTGACAAGAGTGTCTCTGTACTTGGGGCCTGGGGTCACACCACACAGTTTCTGCCAGCAATGTGATTTATGGCAGGGGCCTTGGGCCACACAGTTTGACCTTGAGAGGGGCTGGAGACTGAGTAACTGAGGTCAGTAGTATGACTCTCTCAGTAAAGTGACTGACCCCCAACAAAAGCCCTGGACACCCAGACTCGGGTGAGCCTCCCTGGTGAGCAATACTCTCTGCTGTATCACTCATCATTGCTGGGAGAACTGAGCACTGTATGCAGGAATACTGTGGAGAGACAGCTAGAAGCTTGTGCTGGAAGTTCTTCCTGAACTCCACCTATGTGCCTTTGACCACTGCTAATTCTATGTGGATCATTTCTCTGGAAAGACCGTGACCGTGGGTGTAACAGCTTTTCTGACCCCTGTGAGGCCTTGTAGTGAATCCCTGAAGCTGAGGGTGCTCACCCAGCCAGGGATTGGGCTGATTCCTATCAGAAGCCCATTCACACTCCTCCTGCTCCCTGACACCCAGGAAGGAGTCAAGACTTCTACATGGACTTAGTCACCAACCAGGGCAGCCAGTGCTGGGTCTCCATGGGTGACTAGGGGGTAAGCTGTCACCTTCTGAGCCTCACTATACCCGTCTCTCAAATGGGGTTAAATGACAGGTGAGGCTGGATCAGGGAGGGGTAGAGGCTGGCCTGGGGAGGCTGATGAGGCCGAATCACTGGCTGTGCCTGGTCACGGGGCCAGAGTGGGACTCAAGCCAGGTTGGAGCCATCAGACTGGTTTATTGTACATCAGTGCTTCTCCAGGAGTGGGTTAGGCACTTGGTCAAGCCTCTAGCGGGGCACAGCACAGAGCTGGTAGGGGGAGGGGGTCACCAGTACACCAGACACACCGTGGTCGCTGGGGCGGGGCTGCCCAGCGGGCACCGAGAAGCTGAAGCGCTGCAGGAGGCAGGTGAAGAAGAGGAAGAGCTCCATGCGGGCCAGGGGCTCCCCGAGGCACGAGCGGCGGCCTGTGGGTGGGTATGGGGGGGTCAGTGAGCCTGGGGGCCTGGGCTCTATGTCTCAAATCTCCCTCAGGAGGGGGCAGCGAGCCAGGCTCCCCACAGGCACCTGCTGAGAAGGGCATGAAGGCCTCCTGCTTGACGAAGCGGCCCTGGGCGTCCAGGAAGTGCTCGGGGTGGAAGCGGAAGGGCTTCTTCCAGACGGTCTCATCCTTCAGCACCGAGGACAGGTTGGTGAAAAGCCCCGTCCCCTGGCAGAAGATGCCTGGCATGGGTGGGGTCTAGGCTGAGGGGGTGCCTGAAACCCTGCCAGCAAACACACATGGGCCACACTCTCTGCCTGGCACACAAGTGGACACTTTCATGACAGTCTCAGCCCAAGAGCTTCCCGCCACCACCCCTGTCCCCATGGCAGGGCCACGAGAATAACCTCCCATAGGCACGCTCCGTGCCACCTGTCCTGGCATGCATGGCTGCTCCAACACACCGTGACACATTTTAGTTTGTCCTCCCCTGCCCAGACTGCGGGCTCTACATGGACCTGGACCACCCTGCCTCTGCTTCCTCCCCACACCCACCCAGGCTGGAGAGTTGGTGCCTGTGGAAATGAGGATTAGGTGGCTCGGGTTCCAGTCCTGGTCACACCTGGCAATGGCCATGCTGAGACCACCAGGGGGCAGACGGAGCTGAGCTGGGGTGAGCAGGGTCGCAGGCCTACCTTGGGGATGCGGAAGCCCTGCACTTCAATGTCGCGGGATGTCATGTGGGGCAAGCCCAGTGGGATGATGTCCCCAAAGCGCTGCACCTCATGGACCACAGCCATGGTGAAGGGCATGTGGGTCTGGTCCCCCATCTCTGGTCGCCGCGCCTGCCCTATCACCTCATCGATCTCCTGTTGGACACGGCCTGGACAGACAAGCGTCCCCACAGTGGTCAGAACCCAGGGTGCTAGACCCTGACCTCCTCCTGACTCCTTTGTAGGGGTTCTGCCCACGGGGAGGAGGAGATCACTCAGACCCCTGAGCCAGGGCCCAGCCTCTGCTCAGAGCTCCTGATGGTCAACCAAGCTCAGGGCCCCAGCCGGTCCCTCTCCTCCCTGGCCCAGCCCATCAGGCCCCCAGGCTGGGCTCACACTGCACATCCGGGTGCAGGATCATGAGCAGGAGGGCCCAGGCCAGCGTGGTCGAGGTGGTCACAATCCCAGCAAAGAACAGATCAGTCACCACCAGGCGCAGGTTCTCATCATTGAAGCTGCTCTCGGGGTTCCCCTTGGCCTGGGCCATGCAGAGATGGTGGGCTCAGGGGCAGAGGGAGAAAACCCCAAATGGCCTCCCACTCTGTACCCATTCAGCCCTGGTGCCTGATCACTGGGTGATACACAGGCCCCACCTTGCCAGGCTCCTCTCAAGGTCCGCCAACCCACAACCTCTGCCCTCGTCCATGGCAGCTCACCTTCTCCACCTCGTCCAGGAAGGCATCAGTCAGGTCTCTGGGAGGCTGGGCCGGGTCCCGGGTCATCCTGTTCTCAGCAACCAGCTCATCCACCAGGGCCATGAAGGCCCTCTGGGCAGGAAAAGCCTTGTCGACCAGCCCCGGGATGTGCAGGAGCACTGGTATGGCGTGCACCACCTGTGCAGGCCACAGATGTGGGGCCCTGGGTCCTCCCTGTGCTCAGGTCTTCACCTCCACCAATCAGGTTCCCGCTCCTCCCTGGGTGTCCCCACCATCAACCTCGTTCCTCCCCATGTTCCAACTACAACCTTCTCTCCTGGCCTTGTCCCGAATGTATAAACCTAAAATCTACATCTCACGGGTTCTGATGGCTTCCAATGGAAGAGGTACAGGTTCCTTAGCCCTCTCCAGGTGCCCGCTGACCCAACTCCCCTCTATCCAAATCCTCCTCCGCGGAGGCCCATTGTAGGCAGAGGGCTCCACCATGGGGCTTGCCCACAGGGCTCCTTGGGGCCTTCCTCCCCCGTACCTGGGGCAGAAAGCCAGAATTTTCCTTCAGTTGTTCATTTGCGAGGTCCGATAGCTTGAGGAAGCGCCGGTCGTTGTACTCGAAGCGGCGCCCAAAGGTGAGGGAGGCGATCACGTTGCCCACCGCTTTGTTCAGCAGGGCGTTGGGGCTAAAGGGGCGTCCTCGGAGGGGAAGGTGCAGGTCAGGGGGTCGCCTCCATCTCCCCCTCCCCAGCCTCCATCCCTGTCTCCTGTCCCTCAGCCCAGCACTCACCGGCCTGGTCTGCGAAGGCGGCGCAGAGGCACGAGGCCTCCTCGGTCACCCACTGCTCCAGTGACTTCTTGCCCATGCCGAAATTGCGCAGGGTGGACACGGAGAAGCGCCGCTGCTCCCGCCAGGCGCGCCCATAGCGGGCAAAGAGGATGCCTGGGGGCGGGGCGGACGTGGGTGTGGCTCGGGTGAGCCCTGGCCCCGCCTCTGCGCGCACACCATGCTTGTTGGCTCGCCCGCCCATCTGTCTATCCGGAGGCCATGCCCCGCCCCAGCCCTGCTCACACAGTCCCGCGCCTACATCCCCCACAGTATTCTTATTCTCTAAACCTTGCAGTCCCGCCCCCTTTACACCTCCTTCCGGAGGGGACAGATCCCAGCCTCTGCCCGCCCACATTGTTCGCCAGGTCTCCACACTGGGGGCAGGTCTTGGTCCCGCTCTTGGCTCTGCCCACCGAGATGTCCTTCCGTCCAGCGAAGGTTCCCGGCCCACGCCCTCCCCCGCCCACACCGACTCCGTGCTCCTCATTCCCGCCACCCAGACATCCCCTTCCTGCTCACAGTGGCCCGGCCCCGCCCACTTCCAGTAAGGCCCCGCCCTCCGCATCGCCTGCATCCACCTCCCCACCCTTAGCACAGGCTTCTTCCTCCACCTGCTGCTCCTTCAAATTCGCTGACTCCTCCCTGCTCCGCAGGTCCACCACCCTGCCTCCGCTTGGCCCTGCGGGTCTCAGGTCACTGCGGGCCAAGTCGCCGCTGGGCCGCAATCCTTCCCTCTTCCGCTTGCCTTGCGCGTGGGGTCCGAAGCCCAGGTGCTCAAAAACAGGCATAGGTGGGCGGTCGGCGGTGTCTTCGCTCTGAACCACCAACGCCTCGCGCATGGCCGCCAGCCCGTTGATTATGACCACAGGCGTCCAAGCCAGCTGCAGGCTGAACACGTCCCCGAAGCGGCTCCGCAGCTGCAGGCCAAGAGTCCAAGCATTCCACAAGTCTCACCCCACCCCAGGTTGCCTGACCCAGTCTCCTGGCTCTAGACCCTGGGGAGAGCCCTGGGCCGCCAACAGTGCGTGGGTGCAAGGACTTTCTCTGGCCTTGTGACGCTGGTGGTCACATCCTCTATGGTTGAGGACCTCACGTTGGATCAGATCATCCAGCTGTGACTTCGCAGAGGTCACCAAGATGTCAGGAGGCAAAGTTAGCATCCCATTTTACAGGTGAAGAAACTGAGGTTCAGAGTGGTGAGCAGTAAGGCTCAAGGTCTCACAGCAGTGAAAGATTTGAACCTGGTCACTGTCCCCTCTCAACCTCGATTTCCAGATGTCAATGGGGCTCATGACTGGACTCCCCTCCCCCAATCTCGTCGTCTCTCCCTGATGTCCTCAGAAGGGACTCAGGCTCACATAACTTAAGCCCTGTCCCACTGGATCCCAAACCCACTGCCAAGTCTTATCCCCCACCAGGACTTTGTCTTCTCTGACCTTTGATTGGAAAATTCAAACTGTCCTCCATGCCCTGCACAGATGCCCTCCCCCAGGAGGCCTCTCAAATCTGCCTCCAGTTTTCCACGCAGCTCCCTGTCCAGCCCGTGGCTTCACCACTACCCACTGTCTGCTGTTCAGTGGGTCTGCAGGCCCTCTGCTCCCCACCACCCCCAACCTTCCTCACCCGAGTAAAGCAGGAAAGCAAGTCGTGGAAGTCCAGCTGCAGCTGGTTGCCCAGCCCAGGCAGGGGCATGGGGCCTGGTGGGTAGCGTGGGGCCCAGCGTTGGCGTCGGTGCATCAGGTCCACCAGGAGCAGGAAAATGGCCACGGCCACGGCCAAGGGCCCCAGTGTCTCCCCGGTCAGTAGCCCCATGGCTGCCTCGGTGGGAACTGGGCTCCTCTGGACACACTGGCACCCCTCACCACACCAGGCACCTAGGACCAGGCCAGGCAGGGCACTCTCACCAACCCTGAGGGTTTGACCAGCCTGGGTCTCTTTATAATAGGAACTGAGACTGGCCTTTGCCCTCTACACTGAACCTACCTGTTGAGATGAATTTGCTGCCACAGGCTGCAGGGAGGGGCCAGGGAAGTTCTGTTGCAGGTGTGGCACAGAATTCCTGTGCCTGCTGCCCTCTCTAGTTGCTTATTCTGGGTGGGGGGTAGAGAAAAGGGAAGTCCCCACCCCCAGCCTGACTCCCCACCATTTACAGGTCCGAGGAAGAACCAGGGGTCTTCGGACTTGATCCTGCCCCCACCTGTCATATCAGGCTCACACTCCCTAATGTGGTCACAGCCTCATCCCCAGAACACAGTCTTGCCTTCCCATGTCTCACCTGCCTCCTCCTGAGTGACCTTCACCTCCCAGGTTTGTACTGGCACTCTCAGGGAGGTCACTATGCTCAGAGGGATGAGGGGAGGGGGAGTGGGAGGAGGGGTGAATTTCTCCGTATCTCTCATTTCACACTAGTACACTCAGTACACACAGACACAGATCACACACACATTCAGACACTACCCACCTACTCACAGACTGACACACAGCACATGCACACACACCTTTACCCACACACAAAACCACATGCACACACATTCATACATGTACCGCATACACACACTAACACACACACACACACGCACGCAGACCCAGCACCAGGGCCCCTGTTCCCAGTGGTTGCCTGGAGGTGACCTCCCCCTCCCCTTCCCTGGAGGCTACAGGCAGTGATGCTGAGGACCCTCACCAGGCTGGCGTCTGACTCAGTTTCCTCAGTTTCCACCCAGTTGTGGCTGACCCACCTTTGAATCAGGGTGGGGAGGCAGCAGGGTTGTTCTCAGAGCTCCCAGTGACACAACAACCAGTTAAAAGACCAGGAGACCCTTTCTAAGTGTGTTACAAACCGGGCCTTTGATCTCCTAACTATTGAGGCCACCCAGGTGATGAATCTCCTGGTGCCTGTGTCCACTTTCCTGTCTTGGATAAATGTGGGGTGGGCACTCGCCCCTGTTGACTGAGCTGCGAGGAAGCTCAGGGGACTAGGGTGGCTTAGCAGAGGATGTGACTCTGTCCCCAGAGGAGGGGGCCTGCTTCCTCCTCCTCATTGTCATTTATCCTTGAACATCAGCTGCTCAAACTCTTTCTAGAAGACAAGGGGATGGAAACAAAGTGGGGACAACATAATTTCTTTACACCCCAACAGGCCTGCTGAGGACCACAAGGAATGGATTCTCAGGCCTCCCCCTTTGCCACCCTCCTCCCTCTCCCTGGGCCAGGTCCCCCCTGCTCCAGCCCCATCCCTTCCACCCCTGACTCTCTGGTCCCTCAAGGAAAGATGCAAACCTCAGCATCACCCCACGCTGGGGCGTGCCACTGTCTGGCTGGAATTATGACTACCAGGCCTTCCCTGTTACTCAGCCTCTCACTCAGACTCCACGCAGGGGAGGCAATACGCCGTGCCAGGGCAGGGTAGCTGCCACTGACCTCAGACTCTCCTCCTTCTACAAGTAAATGGCTGGTATTTGAGGCTGAGTTTTTAAATCAGTGAAGCTGATGAGGACTCTGAGCCCAAAACCGACTCATATGGGAAGGGGCAGGAGCCCAGAGGGTGGGGAAGGGGCATTTCCTGGGTAGGGGTCAGGCCCCCTCACCCAGCCCAGGGGTATGTGAGATAAGCTCTCATCCTGGAAACAGCTGGAGTATTCTCTCCCCAGCAGAAGCAGGGCCTTCAGGAGGCACTCCCCACCCCTGTGTCCTGCAATTCTTTCCCTCTCTCACTCCCCAACAGTAAGAGGACCAGCTTCTTCCCAGGATGCCTCTGGACATCCCCCACTCAGAGATGGCCACTCAGACATGGCTTCCACGTGCTGTGGGCTCTTGGTATTGGTTTTCAAGATTTGCAATTCTTGCTTGACTGTGAAAGTTGCTCCTCCCCTTCTGAATTCCCACATCCCCACTCTCCTGCCAGACTTGGGGCCAGAGGGTGTAGGGTGCTGGGGCCCAATGGGCCTTCCTCGGTTTACTGGGCCTTCCCTGCATCTTGCCTTGCTCAGGCCTTGACTTCTGCTCCACCCCCGCTGGAAGGACCATGTGCTGAGTGCTGGGCTGTGCCCTCGCAGCCTGGCTGGAAGAGGATGGCGGGCCCCTCCCCCAAGGGGCTCATCACCAAGAGGAGGAGGGGGAAGACAGAGAGCTGATAGGCCCAGCTAGCAGTGCGGGAACTGCTTTGAGAGTGGTGGGGACACTGCCTCAGGCTGGAGCCGGTCTTTCTGGGAAGACTTCCTAGAGGACTTTGGCTGGCCTGGCACTGCAAGCCAAGATGACCTGCCACTGGGACCAAAGGGGCACCCCAAAGTCCTGTGCAGGAGGGTGAGGAGCAGAGGGAGGGAGGCAGCTTTGCATATCTGGCCGAGGACTGGGCTGGAGGCAGCTGGGGTCTCTGGTCCTCCAGGAGGCAGGAAGACTAGCTTGGAGGCCACTCAACAGACCAGGAGAGCAAGACTTGAGGGCACGGTGGGGACTTTCCAGATCCAGCCTGTGGCCTCTCATTGCCCTCAGTTGAATGTCCTGTTCTGTGGGCAGCAACTCTACCCAGGACTGTCAGAGAATCAGGTGGTGTCAGCAGGGGGCAGGATGGTCCAAGTGTTGGTCACACAGTGGCCCTGGATAAAGTATCTTTATCCACCCTTTGTTTTGGATGTGTCACGCTCTCCCAAGCAGTCACTCTAATGAGGATATGAAGGGCAGGGACAGACATGCCTGTAATTCAGGCAGACCCCCCCACCCCCAGCCCCGATACTAGGGGCGTGTTCTCCAGGACCAGGGGCCTTGAGAAAACCTCCTGAGTACAATGAGCACACAGTAAAATCGTCAGGCTGATGGCCTGCTGCAATCATTGTGCAATTGCAGCTTCCATTGATCAGGGACTCGCGTGCCAGGCTCTGCTGCTCACTCCACGTGTCCTTCCCACAGCCCTGTAGGGCAGGGGGCTTCAGGGTCCCCAAGGCATGGAGGGGACTGAGTCTCAGGGGACATGTCAGGAGGTCATAGTCAAAGAGCAGCATTCGGGTCCATCTCAAAAGTCATGCTAAGCTACTGCTCTACATGTAAGTTACTGAGATTTCTTATTTAGAAACACACTCAGCCCACCCTCGCTGGGCTTCTGCTCTGGTGAAGCCGCTGGGGTGGAGGGGTGAGCGTCCCCACGGATCGCGGGTGTCGCAAGTGTTCACCCAGCAAGGACGGGTCCTCTAGACACTGTGGCCTGAG